GTCTCTTGAGTAAAGTATAGAATCCATTACACATGCAGTTATAAGACAACACACTAAAATGGCAAAATATAACACCTATAAATATCCGGAGACAAGCACTCAAAGAGGATACAGCACAGTTAATGGTTGTCTTCAACAGCAAATTCATTTTAGACTTCACTCTAAGTGCTCTTCCAGGTTTGCTTCGTAGCTGTCTGGCTACACAACAGATTGAACTCTGAGGCCTTGGATTCTTTACAGAAACCTCATTCAGGTGTTTTGGGGGAAACTTATCAGGCCAAATAATGGTTCATTCTTAACTGAAAGGTACTGAGTGGCTGTACCCACTGCATGATGCTGATACTCGAGTAGAAAGGGCAGTCTAAGGCTGCACACCTCCACCAAAGCTTTCATCCAGATATATATATTTTTTTAAACCAAATGAGTTTGAAAGGTCAGTGATTTTTATGTTGGCCCCAGTTTTATATATCAAGTAAAGGGGAACGGGTCACAAAACCTTGGTGGAGGTAACTACTCAATAAGTCTTTGCACATTGGAAGGGTGAAGTGGTTCAAATTGAATATGGTAGTTTGTATGTATGTATTTATTTTACCAGCATTTATATAATCAAGTTAACTGAATGAGGAGTAATATCAATAACATCATACTACTACTTACTTAATCAGAGAACAAGGCTCAGAAAAGGCTCTGATGTGTTAAGAGGGTGCTGATCAATCCAAGCTGCACAGTTCAAAATCACCCTATTGACAGGCTTTATGTGTGTAGATTTCAGCTTTAGATCAGAAGAAAAGTGATGCCAGCAAAAGGCAAAACAGGAAAATCAGTTTTCCTGTAAGGTTACAGACTATTTTATTATTGGAAACGTCTAACTGTCCTATATGTTGCTGGGTATTCCTGAGCAGCTACAGCTCCCCTCCAGAGGATTCTTGTGCTTCTGCATCTTTCTTGGTTTTCCAGTGACTCAAAATTTGGCTCAATTTACAGGAGGTTCTGTATAAGCTGTAGAACCAAAAAAATATTTTATATATAGTTTAAAATTCACAATATTTTGGTTTCTGTAGACAAATAGAATTATTCATGGGTAAATTACAAGAAAAACAAAACAAACAAAAATTATTGATAGAACTTCCATTTGCTGTCATAATTCCCCTCTTACAGGCTTGGTTATCTCCTCTCCTTTGCTCTGGTGTCACCTTTAAAATGTGCAGCCTTTCATTTTTTGAGTAACTTTTCCAATTTGTCCCTGTAGGCAGAAAAATCAAATAATCACTTCAAGTTTATGTTCAGTGAATCCCCCTTATATAAAAAAAATAAAATAAAAAATAGTTAGGCTTCAGTACAGAAGTGTACGTACTCTATTCTCTATCTGTAAGCACTAAGGCTTGGAGGATATCCGAAAGGGAGACGATTCCCTTCACCACCTCGTGCTCATCCACTACCACCAGCCTGTGCACCTGCAGGGAACACAAGAACATCGTTGGTGTTACACTTATCTCAGCAAGGTACCATTTTTACATAAGGAACGTGGAGAGAAACTGGTGTAAGACAAACTGTACACAGACAGCAGCTTTGATAGCAGAAGTAACAAAGAGTTTTTTTTTTTAATATGATTTCAAATTATGTTTTGAAACAATTATGACAAGAGGTGTGCACACAAATACCACACAAAAAGGCCCCGGCATGGATTCAAATGCAGGATGTTCTTGCTGTGAGGCAAACGGGGGTGTGCTATTATTTATTATGGTGCTGATTTTTTTTAATGTATACTTAGTTCTTTAACTGAGTAGTTTGGAATAAATCACAAATTTAACAATACCTATTTTGTCCATCTACATGGCCTTGCTGCAAACCCTCGGTTTATCCTCTTTTTGAAACAATGTAGTAATATGCTAATTAGACATGTGGTAATACTGATTATAATCCTAATCCTCATTCATCTCATAGTGAGCCTTGATACAGCCTCTGAATTTCTCCTCTGCCTGAAACAAACAGCTTTAGCATCTTTCCCTTTAAGGCCACCCTCTCTTTAGCCAGCCTTCTCCTGATTTGCTGCACCTCTCAAACAGAATGTTTGAACAGCAGGTGGGTGAGGCTTCTATAGTCACAGGCAGAGCTGTGTTCCTACAATGACCATCACAGGGATATCACCTCTCACTGAAATCATACAGACCTAACAAGGG